TAGCTGAGAAAGTGCAGAATCTGTGACATTCGCAATATCTGCCTCGGCGCTATCCACGACCGTGGTGACATTGAACCCATCCTCGACTGTCAAATAGCCACCGACAGAACCATTTATATAGCAGGCTTTGCAGACAATTTCCAGGCCAGATTGCAGGCCTATTGTCCCGTTTTTTGACCCAGCAGAAGTTTCCGTGCTAGGATAAGAGCGTCAGAATTAGGGTGTGTACTTTGCATTATGGAGCAAGCGGAGTTAATTTGATTACCTTGCTCCAATGGAAAATATAGTAGCATTTGCCCAACTCTTTGTCAACAGAGTCTGGTTCATCGAGTATGTCGTCCCCCTAGCCTCGTGTAGAGCCCATCTAATGGCGATGGTGGCGTCTTTGTCAGCATTGGTGTCAGCTTGCAATGGGGCGTATTTCCCCCCCATTGCGCGCACGATGTATAAGAATTGCAGGCAGAGGAGCCCACAGATGCTTTTGGTCATCATGCTGAAGCTGTTAAATTGCTAATCTCCATTTGCTTTCTGAATATGGAGGCAGGCGAGTGATTGTTCAAATAGTTGGCTGCTTCGCTCAGCCTTGTGCCGCACCGCAAAGGGGCAAAGGTGGTAACACAAAAAACAGTTGTATCACAGCCCCCTTAATACATTTAGAGGGCGAAATGATGGCGCAGCTTGCCTGCATTAGCGTTGTAATCGGCCGAAACGTAACTCTCGGGAGCTGAAATTGGGTCGCGATAGCTTTCGGTGGATCGTATACGGTACAGTATATTACCTGGTTCTGTTACTCTATCACCACTATAATTGTGGAATTATTATAGCCCAAGTTCATTGGCATCATGTGGTCTCAAAAGGAAAGAGAAAAAAAAAAGAAAGATATTATGCGGACAGGCATATCCCCATTAGACTTATGGGTCGTCTGGGAAGGACTAGGACAAGGCTAATTTGGCCCTAGCCCTTCCTAGCGGCGGACGGGCCTTCGTGTCGAGGTTTCCGTGCCTCCCTCTCATATCGCTTGTGCTACTTTTGGATTGGCCTCCTCTTGGGTATCTTGAAGATGAACGTATTCTTAGAGAAGACATTCGGTCAACCATAGACTATTCGTACAGATCGTGGCAGAAGTTACGCGAGGAGGTGCTAATCCCTAGATCTTTATTGCTATCATCAGTATCGAGCTATCAAGATCATGAATATGAGAGAAAGATGGAAATAACCTAGGGTAATATTTGTGTGTGAGAGGTACTATAGTGATAAATAGTGTCCCGGGTCTAAGTCAACCTTGTATACTAGATAGACCGGTTCTATGGCTTCCCAAACTATCTCCAGTATTTCTCTTAGCTCAATCTTCCGAAGAGCTGTTCATTGTGATGAATAATATGCATCGGGAGGAGAATGGAAGCAGATCCATGTCTCTCGAAGAAAAGGGATAGTCATTATCGGGGGAACGCCGGTTGTTGTTATTCCCCGCACTTTCGGCCTGATCTCCGACCGCGGAACGGATATAGTATCACCGTTCCTACGGGAGGGATGCTCTACTAGATCTCAGGACTTTCCCACCTGCGCTGGTTGTTACTCACTCAGATCAAAAAGGCTACGAACACCATGTCGGATTCAAGAAACTACAACATCCTTGTCCTCCCAGGGGACGGGATCGGTCCGGAGGTCATGGCCGAAGCCATAAAGGTCCTGCGAACCTTCAACACTGCCTCAGTCCAGTTCCATCTGCAAGAAGAACTTATTGGCGGCATATCTATCGATACCTATGGCCAATCCGTTACACAGCCCGTAAAAGATGCCGCAGTTTCTGCAGACGCCGTCCTTTTCGCCGCGGTTGGGGGTCCAAAGTGGGATCACATCAGGCGCGGACTTGACGGCCCAGAGGGGGGTCTATTACAGTTACGCAAGATCATGGATATCTATGCAAACTTGCGACCGTGCTCTGTGGAAGTTCCAAGCCGCGAAATTGCTAGGGACTTTTCACCGTTCAGACAGGAGGTGATCGAGGGGGTCGATTTTGTAGTCGTGCGAGAGAATTGTGGAGGCGCCTATTTTGGCAGAAAAGTTGAGGAGGACAATTACGGTAAATCTCAATTCGCTGAGTGGGAAGTAGAAGGTGGCTAATATTTATTCTGTAACACGAGTGCAGCAATGGATGAGTGGGGCTATTCCACTATTGAGATTCAACGCATTGCTCGTCTCGCCGCGGAGCTTGCCCTGAGGCATGACCCACCATGGCCCGTGATTTCTCTTGACAAAGCCAATGTCTTAGCATCATCACGTCTGTGGCGCCGTGTTGTCGAGGAAACCCTTTCAATAGAGTATCCACAGGTGAGGTTGATCCACCAGCTCGCAGATTCAGCATCATTGATCATGGCTACCGAGCCCCGAGTCCTCAACGGTGTGATTCTGGCGGACAATACCTTTGGTGACATGATATCGGACCAGGCGGGGTCACTAGTTGGAACACTAGGTGTCCTGCCCAGTGCTAGCTTGGATGGTCTTCCTCATCCCGGCAAGAAGGAAAAAGTTCGCGGTCTATATGAACCAACACATGGCTCCGCTCCGACGTAAGTGCTCTTTGATATCCTGTTTCTCCTATTGCTAATAGCTTGAAGAATAGCCGGCAAGAACATCGCAAACCCAACTGCGATGATCCTCTGTGTGAGCCTCATGTTTCGATACTCTTTCAACATGGAGATCGAAGCGCGCCAGATTGAAGATGCTGTGCGAGCTGTTCTAGACAAGGGAATCCGCACTCCTGATCTCGGGGGCAAATCAGGCACTAAAGAGTTTGGTGACGCCGTTGTCGCTGCACTGAAAGGGAAATAGCAGACCTGAAGCGTTATACCCAGACTTGCGACAAGTATCATATGTGTTGATTTCCTAAGATATGTTAGTGGTCACTTGGACACTAGAAGAATGTTGTGAGTGGCCAAATCAATATAGTTAGCAACATTTACCTATATGTAGTCGGCCTTTGCCGTCCTGTGGTGAGCGGGCCGTCTTGATGGACAAATGGTTGAAACATCCTTCCTTTGGGGCTGATATTGTTACAGAAGATTTCATGAGTACCGCGACATTCGATGTCTGAATTTGTGTCTCATTCTTATTGTTTGACCTAGACTGGGGAGATAAACCGATCTGGTGGTGTGAATCACGACGATGCTTCGGCAATGTGAAGTTGTTTTGTGATGAATTATCTTTCTCCCCTTAAGCACATATGATCAAGTAAATAAATCTACGACCTTTTCAGCAGTTACCTGCAATTGTTAACGTGATTGAGGTGGCATTGCATCTTCCCGGGGCTGCTATCCTTTCGACATATTAGGCGTTAAGGAGAGTTATGATGAACCATGGTTTCACAGACAGGTGAAATTCAACGTCCACTTATATGGTGTTTTCGGACGGTTTATTTCTTAATCTGGCAAGCAGATGACCTTATTAGTAACGGCACAGACGTCATGATTACTTATACCTGATTATGACCGGGGTGCCCCATCCCTCTCTCTCTCATGAATCCTGCAAGCTGCGTAACAACTTCTGAAAATGCAGGTGCCCTTTCCTAGTATTCCTCCTTATATCGGCAGATCGGTAAACTAATACTGGCTTCTACTAGATCTAAGCAACGAATAAGCTACCGAAGTGCGGTGGTTACCACGCATCCCACAATAACAGGAAACGAAGCAAAGCCGAGTGCTATTCATCGTACACACGATCATCTCGTTGAAATCATCGATACCCCAGTACGATATTTTTAAAATGGAGGCAAAGAAGAATCTACTCTGTGCTCAGCTCGAAGGTCGTGAATCGCCTGCCCCGGAAAGTCAGACCGCCGAACAACAGGCGCCTTTTTGCTGGGGCAGAATTCCTCGCAATCTGCAGCAGCCAGCATATACTTCAACAAAGGGGAGCTCTGACCCCGTCAAGCCCTTTGTGTTGGAAAGCAACCCCGTCCATCCTCTGGAGGCGTCGTTGGCGGCGCAATATGCGCATGACAAAAAGAGGAGTATCTCAGAATGATGTTGGTTTTATCTCCCTTTAACTATTGTTTCACTTCGCCGCATTATCTGCTTTTATTCTTGGGTGATGTATCCCGTCTATTAAAATACTCTGTGGGCCCCGGCTCATTCATATTTCGTGAAGACGTATATGACTTTGTGGTGAAATACCGAGAAGGCACTTCTATAGCCGTTGGTACAACGGTGTTCAGGATCCTTGACATAACGGAATAACACTCATTAACACTCTACCTTGGGTCATGGAATAGATGTAGAAGGGTTTTCATATGTATAGCAACACACCATGCGGTCCCATAAAGCGGTCTTCCTTAACGCTTTAATAAGAGAATCATCGACGCTGTTAGAAAGGGTAGATAGCGTGATCAGCAGAGATGTTACATTATCTACCCCTGTAGCATCAATATAAGCGTACTCTTACAGAACCCCGGGGGTGTCGTCAAGTACCTGTTGAAAATGTAACTACGGACCGTCACAATGAGTGGTGACAAAATTTGTGTTTTCAAAACAAATATCACTTCCAACAGCTTGGATCGATACTAGCAACTGCGTCACTCAACCTGACTACGGAGATATCATCAGGTCTTTGGTAATGGACGTCCAAGATTGAAGGGTTCCAACCCTGCCCCTGTGTGGACTTTAAACCGATGTGACAAATAGGTTCAGACATATGGGATATTAGCAGCGAGGGCCCATGCCACCTATTTATACATACCTTTTTAAAGTCAGATCCACGACAATCCTAAATGACGTTTGGTCTGAATGTGCTTTACTAAATTAATAGCACAGTGGACCTGGCAGGATGTCGGATACTGGATCCTATCTAGACGAGTGCCTTTTCTTCTTATCATATGCGATCTTCGAAATTGTGCACATTTTTTAGCTCAACGATACGGATCAATCTCCTCGTAACATTTGCAAATGTTATTCACAGATAAGATTCGTTCCTCATTCCACTGCCCGTATACTTCCAACCGACTACTAGTTCGAGACAAGCTTGTAGCTGGCGAACGCAGTGTCACTGTCAAGGCATCCTGGCGCAGTTACATTTTGGACGCCCTCCTCGCAATTTGAATCGGTGAAGAATTGCGCTGGGAAGAATTGTCAGGTGATATGAAAGACCTTAGGGAGATGGAGATTGACTTACCAGCATATCCTGCTACGACGTAATAGGTGGTGATAGAATGAATGGCATAAGGGCCTGCAAAGGTGCCACATTCATCAAGGCCGGATTGGTACAAGCCAAGCTCACCCATGTTGTCCTCGGCACAACCAGTTTCACCCCAGAGGCGGAGTTGGATAACTCGCGTGTCGGTGGTGGGCAACGCCATTGCGGAAACGGCTAAAGCGAGAACGGAATAGATCTTGAGCGTGAACTTCATAATCGCGATGTGGTCAATAGCTGGTGATAAGAAATGGAATTTGAGATTTGGGTATCTGAGGAGAGAATCTGCAACGATTGTGGTAACGCTGGTGATGATAGAGGTATGTGTAGTCTGTGAGTGTGGTGCCAAAGACAAGAGTTAGGTCTGGCATCTGGCTGATGGTCTTTATATAGTTATACTTTGTGATGAGTAGCAATTTCGTTTATCTAATTTTACTCCGTGGGCAGTGCAATGTCCGGATGGCAGGGGAGGTCACATGCGACATAAGGACATACCTATTACGAGGAGGTTTTAGTGTACTTGGTAGACTTAGCTGGGGTCATGGTGCACATTGCCGTTCACCCAACAGCATGATCAAAGACATGCACGTAGTTCATACAAGTCATACGTCTTGAGCTTAGCAGTAGAGTGGTTCGATCCCAGTTTCCTGTTCTGGCCGCACGGAGAAACATGTCTTACCCAGGCCAAGTCCGTCAGCCCGACCGTCCACTCAGAGCGCGGTGATGCGCGCCCCATGGAAGTGCCATCTGCAAATGACGAGGCATGAGGAGAACCATCAGGCTCCCCATCTGTCTAAAACAGCCAGTCTTCGGGATTTACCCAACTCCACCCACGAGCGGAATTCGTCTGAGAGACCTCTGCAGTCTGTCCACCTCAAAGCGGTCCGTTCCAAGGTCATTCGTTAAGATGGACCATGCGGTACGGTCAAACCAGGAGATGAATGTCAATACTAGCAACCCCCCGCCAGATAGCTGCTGGGACCTACTTTGCCCTCAAGGCGGCAACTTGGGCGAGTTCACATCCGGCACCACCGACAAGACGTGGCTATGCTGAATCCAGAGATAGTATAGCTTAAGCGCTCCAATTTATGCAGCTTATTTCATTCTCGCTACTCATCATACTCTGGCCCAAAATAGACCCGTTGTGCCCTGGACGCCTGTCAGGCCCCCCGCGTAGTAAGTCGGTAAATCGTCCAGGATGAATGACTTGACTCAGTCACGCACGAGCGACTTACGTTACTATCGCATAATGCTCCGCACAACTGAATATGTTACAACTCAAGATTGTCTGTGGAAAATAGAGTGATCAGGGTTCTGTGCAGTGGAGTTCCCACCCAAGACCCGGCAGTCGTCGCACTGGCAATAATACCAGCATGCAATGCAACCAATTGAGAAGGTTGTAGGATGCAGGCTAATTTCGTGTCTTGCGTTCAGCCAGCAGACGGTTCACAGACATGGTCTACTACCATTTCGGGTGCTAGCATCCATCAACCCACCTGGGCTCTGTGTTATTCTTCACCAGTCATTAACCGGCGCGCCCTCGGCTACCATGAGCCAACAACTACAGCCGTTCACGAGAGCGATTGCCGCGCTACGATTGTTACCCCAGACTGTTTGGTGGAGATGGGTGGTGGTTTGACTGCTGACTTTCACTCCAAGTCAGAAGAGTTCGGTCCGCCCGTCTCTCCCATTCCACTAGTATCGCCTCGAGGTTAGCGACTGCCAAGAATGCAGTAAATAAGGGCCGATAACAAGCGGCTATCTCCTATCTTCTGCGATAAGCTCTAGGAAGGGCAATATAGCTTGCAATTTCACCGAGAAGGACGGAGTGTAACTTATGAGCCGAATCTGGATAATCGCCGAGCAGTCGCATAATCACCGATTCTTGCCCAAAAGCAACCTCACCAGCAGTCATGAAAAAAGAGCTGATGCCTTCTTCGTCATCGAATATAGTGTTCGGAAGTCTCACACCATGACAGTCTTCGCTTCATCGACCATCCAGCCGGACCAATCCCAACCGTGGCAGGAGATTGATCGGCTGGTGGAGAAATATTCCGCGCACCCAGATACCGTCACGCCCGTGCTCGCCAATGCTGTGGTTCTTCTTACAGGAAGTTCAGGAAGCTTAGGGTCGCACTGTCTAGCACAGCTAGTTCAATCCAACCAAGTGAGCCAGGTCATCTGTGTCCTCCGAAATAGTCAGAGTCCTAGCCCATCCGTCAGCCCCAAGGCCTATCGCCAGCAGCTGCAGGAGAAGAAAATATTCCTCTCCGAAGCCGAATGGTCTAAAGTTACCTTTATCACTTGTGATCCCACGGACTCGCACCTGGGACTTGACGCAAGCGAGTATCAAGATGTCCAGCGTCGTATCACTCATGTTGTGCACGCTGCCTGGCCCATGGACTTTCGTCCAGGTTTATCGTCACTCTGTGATCAGTTCCAGTTCCTTCGCCATCTCCTGCTTCTCGCCGCGTGCGGAGGCGTGCGCCGGCGATTCCTCTTCGTCTCTTCCATTGCGGCGGTGGCCCAGCGTGGGCTCACTCCAGCCCATGCCGGTGAATTGATAGAGGAGGCCTCCATGGTCACCCAGCAATCTGCTACTGGACTGGGGTATGCCGACGGAAAGATCGTTTGCGAAAAGATCCTCGAACGGGCGGCAGCCACGTATCCAGACGAGCTGGAGATCGCCATAGTCCGAGGCGGGCCTATCGTAGGATCTCGCGCCACAGGCATCTGGACCACCAAGGAGGTGGTGCCGATGATGTTGCGATCATCGTTGAGCCTTGGAAAGCTGCCCCAGCTGCGAGGCGTAAGTTGCACTCGGAATTCTAAATGCCATGGAAGATGCAACCGCTAATGTGATGTATGCACAGACCTTGTCGTGGATGCCCGTTGACGATGCGGCCGCCGTCTTTTGCGAGATTCTTCTTGCGCCGCATCCGCTGGCGCCGGTCTACCAGGTGGAGAATCCCATCCGTCAGGCATGGAGCGATCTGTTGGATACCGTGGGCCCTGTTCTGGGGCTGACCACGCGCATTCCCTTCGACGAGTGGCTGGCTGCTGTGGTGGAAGCCGCCGAGACGGAGGGCTCCACGCGCAGGTACCCCGTGCTGAAGCTGAAGGCATTTTTTGCGCGGTTGTTCCAACCTGCCGTGTGTGGGCATGTTATCCTGGCCACTGATCGCTCCCGGGCCTGTTCGCCCACTCTACGCCAGATGAGGGCCGTGGAGGATGAAGTGGTGCTGAAGTTTGTGCAGCACTGGAAGGACATTGGCTATTTTGCCTAGGCAGCATTGTATCCTTGTTATACCTGTGACTTAGGCCGATCACCGAACTGCAGAAACGAGAGAATGACACATTAATCTTTGACCTGGTATTCCTTTGGATTTGCACACTTATCCTTGTCCCAAGTATGGATATTGAACCTTGTGTATGAAGACTCAGTAAAGGGTGCCAACAACTCAAGTCAACAACCGACTGCTTTGCCGAGCTGCCGACCGTGGGCTGCGCTGGATAGACTGCCCCTGAACGGGCTTCGCAGCATAAGTAGCTTCGTTTTCCTTCTTGAGTTTTCACGGACCACCAGTGTGTTGTTTGTGGTCCTAATTAATTTATTGAACCCGACAATTCGAAGAAAATTGTCAAGTCGAATAACAATGGTAATACTACTGCGACCGAGCACGGATGTAGATGAGTCGTAGGCGGATACATCCCAACTCTCCTTTAACAATATATATTTTCCGAATCGTACTAGGACGAGTGGTAAGTAGTAGGAGTACCGAAGTGTCGGTCGGGATATTACTACTAGTCCACAATAGTACTATTGTAGATGAACACCGATTTATTGGGCAATGGAAACAAAACCGTTTTAAGTTGTGTGGAAGCAGATCTAAATCGACAATTAGAGCACCATCGCATAACCGCCGGTCTGTGTTAAATCCGCGGTCGGAAAGACACCATGGGACCCTGACCGCCGGCCGTAACATGATCCGCCACCACATACTCAACATACTCAACATCTTTGGCTTCGCTGTCATCTCGATCCACCCTCCGCATGTCAAATTCCCAGAATAGACGGGCCATGGTGAGCATCACCTGCGCCAGCGCCAACGGTTTACCGATACAGCTCCGGGCTCCGATCGAGAAGGGCATGTACGCGCGGCCGTCGACTTCCTGAGTTCCCGATCTCTTCAGCCACCGGTCGGGATTGAACCGAAAGGGCTTTGGCCACTCGGTGACGCGGTGGTGAATGCTGTAGATTCCTACCCCGACCTCACAGCCCGGAGGAAGCCAGTGTCCATCGATAGAGGCGCCTCCGTCCTCAACTTCCCGCCATAGAGCACTGGCTGCTGGCGGCGAGAGGCGTAAGGCTTCATCAACGCAGGCCCGCAGAAATACACACGAATTCAAAGCTGGTCCCAGGCGGATATCCCTCAGCGAGGCAAATGCCGACCGTACCTCGTCTGTTACCCGGCGATGACATTCAGAAGAGCCGGTTACGTAGTGGCATACAGCAGCCATGGTGGTTGATGACGTATCAGATCCTGACTTTTCGTCAGCATGGTAGTACTGACCCGCGATAGCAAAGGGTGGCCGAGGGTCACCGACCGGCAATGATAAAGGTGGCAGTCTCCGTGCTCAATTCCGTCACGCCCAGACCCTCTCCTGTGGCAGGGTCCTTGCATTGCTGTAAGAAGGCAAATAGGTCCCCACCCTTGTCAAGGGCACGCAGCCGGGTCCCCAGCAGTTCTCGGATGAATCGAACAAATTGCCTGCGCCCAGCGATGGACGAGGGAAATAATTGGCCGTCCAGGTTAGCTGTCGCCAGTTCCTGCGCTTGCAGAAGCACGCTCAGTCGAATGTTCGACGCGGCGATTGCCTCAATCACATAGCGATATTTCGACGATCGGAGAGTGTCGAAGTCTGAGTCGAAAGAAACCGAGGTCATCGTATCGAAAGCGAGGCGGTCAACTATGACGACTGTTAGCTACACTATCTTATCTCAGGGTTAACAGGAGACTTGCAGTTGCGTGCCATGTCAAGAGGCGTCGTCCATCCATTCGCCATTGACGACGGCGTCGTGATCAAGCATGCGCGTATGACCTGGGATAGCCGATCAAGCTGAGAGACGATCCTGGGCTGCCACGATTCAAGACTGCGGGCGGAGAATCCCTGGCTCAGCACCCGGCGTCGGCGGCTATGCTGCATCTTATCTTGCATCGTGAGGGTATTAGGTGCCTGCTGCGCGAGCACCCGGTAGTTCACGTATTTCTTGACAGGCGCGCGATGACCGTATATGTCTTGGACAGCCCCTGCCGTGTTAATTAGTAGCCGGTTGGGCGCATACCGCACATGGTCCCCTGTTGTCATCTTAGGCGGAGCTGAAGTGCACATCCTGTGGTATAGGGAGAATTACCATATCGCTCGTGGCAACGGTAGATGTCAATATGAATGTCCCCTTTCCACGCATGATACGCGGAATATAGATTGCTGAACCGCGCAAGCAGAGGGCCGGGGTATCTGGCCAGAGGATGGAAGACGCCCAGATACAGTGTCCGTGTTAGAACCTGACCTCCCCGATGACCGTTAGATTGGCGTCGGTCTTGAAGGAGTTGAGTTGGGGTTGGTAGATGCACTTACAAGTAATATGAAGCCAACCAGCAACGCAATACCTACATTTCCTGCTTCACCTACGCCAGTAAACAGCTTGAACATCATGTTTGGCGAAACTGGGTGCTTGGTGTCTGGGGTCACCTGTCTTGGTGACGCTCAGTATGCTTCAGTGAGAAGTTGAATAAAGACAAAGTAAAGTTCTGGCGGCCCCTTCACCTAATTTGGGCTGGTGTAGATTGGCTGTGGAAGTTACTTCGTCCTAGTAATTTGCAGCGGGAGACCAGAATTGAGCTGTGAATGGGACAAGAAGTTAATTTGCGGTCACAGGCAACCTGGATTATGCACCGAGGCGGTTTGCATCCACTGGGTCGGCGTATATCCTCTGCGGAGTGAAGGTCGGTGACTATCCTGACTATCCCGATGTAAGTCAGACATAATCGGCGTTATTGAAGTGATGACGGTCTATCCGACGTGACATTCGGCCCATAATTGTGCTGGTCTGCAGGACCAAGAACAGAACCCGGTTGCTATATGGCAACCCTGACCAGTTCCAAATTGCAACAGGACTCAATAGGTATGGCCCGTGCCTCCTCTCGCACTATCTTCATGCTTTATTACATCAAGTTCACAACCCCATCACTTTATGAACAGAGCGAATAATCAATCTTCACTTAGTAGTTTCATTCAATCTTCACTGAACAGCCACAATTTCGAGTACGACGTAATGGGGATCACGGTTGATGAACAGAACCATGCTTCACGCTTGCACGAGCCTATTGCCATCGTGGGCATGGCCATGCGGCTGCCTGGCAGAGTAAATGACAGCGAATCCTTTTGGCGGATGCTAATTGAGAAGCGAAGTGGGCTCTGTGACGTGCCGAAGGACAGGTATCACCTGGGCGCCTTCCACGATCCGCATGGCAAACCGGGAACGGTGCGCATGCGGCAGGGGTACTTTTTAGACGACGTTGATGTCCGCCAATTCGATAGCAATGTGTTTTCGAGCCCCAAGAAAGAGCTGGAACGGCTGGACCCGCAGCAGCGCCAGCTCCTCGAAGTCTCGTATGAGTGCCTGGAGAATGCGGGATGCGCCCTGTGGCGGGGTCGAAATATCGGCTGCTACGTCGGCGTGTTTGGCCAGGACTGGTTGGACTTGAATGCTAAGGAGACACAGCATATGGGTGCCTATCGCGTTACGGGCTATGATGACTTTGTGCTGGGGAATCGTATTTCGTATGAGTTTGATCTCCGCGGCCCTAGGTAGGTACAATCCTTTTTGTCACACTATCAATCAACTAAAGTACGAAACTAATGCCTACCAAGCATGACCATCAAGACTGGATGCTCCTCATCATTGGTATGCCTTGATCTCGCCTGTAAGGCGCTGCGCGACGGTGACTGTGACGGTGCATTGGTTGGTGGAACAAGCTTGATCTTTTCGCCTACCATGAGCCTGGCACTTAGTGATCAGGGTGTGCTATCTCCGACTGGAACATGCAAGACATTTGATGCATCTGCCGATGGTTACGGGCGTGGTGAAGCAATCAACGCTATCTACATCAAGACCTTACGACAGGCCATACAGGGCGGAGATCCCATTAGGGCAGTCATCCGAGGTACGAGCGTTAACTGTGACGGACAGACCCAGGGAATGCTCACCCCGAGCCCAACCGCGCAAGAGGCACTGATGCGCCGTGCTTATGCGATGGCCGGTATTACTGACTTCGGCCAGACGGCCATGATCGAATGCCATGGTACCGGCACCTCCGTGGGAGATCCTCTCGAGACCACCGCCGTGGCCAAGTGCTTTGGCGAGACTGGTATAATCATTACCTCGGTATGGACGGACCTTTCCGCATTCCAAAGGCACCAGTCGGAGACTGATTAAGATTTGTGTGGACTAGGTCAAACCCAATGTCGGCCACTCCGAGGGGGCGGCCGGCTTGACGAGTCTCATAAAAGGAGTTTTGGCACTGGAACACCGTCAAGTGCCGCCTAATATCCACTTTTCCGAACCAAACCCCGATAGTGAGTGTTCCTCCAGCTTCATTATCCAGTATGTGTCTGACTCGTGGCCTGCTGTCAGTCCCTTTTAAGACAGGCAAACTGCACGTCCCTGTGGAGGTTGAGCCATGGCCTGCGGACCGTGCCGAGCGAGTCAGCGTCAACTCTTTCGGAATCGGCGGTGTCAATGCCCATGTAGGAGACCTTGTTTCTCTTATCTGCAAGCGAATGTCTCCTCATATCCACAGGTTATACTTGAATCCCCCCGCCAATGCGGGATTGTCGATCAGATGTCACGCCCCAACCCTGTTGTTGGGGAAGAGAACGCCAATTTGCTGCTCTTCTCCGCCCACAGCGCAGTCTCCCTGCAGGCTTCCATCGCCGCACATCAAGCGTACGTTGAGGAAGGTCATGCCCCCTTGCAGGATGTGGCATACACGCTCGCCAATCGCCGGCCCCATCACACCTATCGCGCTTATGCGGTTACAGGCGACCAAAGGTCCTGGAATGTTTCGACAGTGGAAGCTGCCAGTTTACCTCCACGCATTGTGTGGGTATTCACGGGTCAGGGAGCACAATGGCCGCAGATGGGGGCAGAGCTTCTGGAGGTAAATGCCACCTTTCGAGACACAATTCAGAAGTTGGACCGTTTTCTACGCACACTACCCAGTCCACCGCCATGGACCATCGAAGGTGAGAAGTATGCTCCAAGGTCAAATTTGGATGAATGGCTGATGCTAGATTCAGCTGAGCTACGCAAGCCAGATACGATCAGTCGAATCCACGAAGCCGTCATGGGCCACCCCCTGTCCATTGCCCTCCAGATTGGGCTTATTGATGTGCTGCGGTCCTGGGGCATCGTCCCCACGGCTGTGCTGGGTCACTCATCGGGGGAGATGGCAGCGGCATATGCCTCCGGTGCCATCACTGCCGAGGAGGCGATGGCTGCAGCCACCTTCCGAGGCGCGAGCCATGAGACCTCCTCCCGCAAAGGAAGCATGGCGGCCATCGGCCTTGGTCCCAAAGAAGTGCGGCCCCTACTCCAACAAGGAGTCGTGATTGCTTGCGAAAACAGTCATCAGAGCGTGACGATCTCCGGGGACACCGAAAGGGTCGAGGAGGTTGTGCGTCTTATCCAAGAGGAGCAACCAGGGACTTTCGCACGCTTCCTACGCGTGGAGAAGGCTTTCCATTCTCGTGAGTGTACCTGGAATCCCTGACTACCATGTCTAACTAGATGCTCACCTAATGATAGACCATATGCAGGAGTATGGACCTCACTACGAAGAGCATCTCCAGCCATTTCTTCAAAGCAGGTGCCCCGAGGTCCCCTTTTACTCGACGGTCACGGGAGACAGGTTAGCGGGAGATGGCTTGGGCGCCACTTACTGGCGTCAGAATATGGAGAGCCCGGTGCTATTCAACGCCTGCCTCCGCTCCGTCCTACGGGACTACTCTGATAAGCTTATTTTTGTCGAAATTGGACCGCACCCTGCGCTCAAAGGCCCTATCCGACAGATCCTTCACGACGTCCAACGACCCGACGTCGGGCACGTGGGAACTCTCCAACAATGCCAGGAAAGCCTCCTGCAATGTGCAGGCACGCTGTTTCAGCATAATGTTTCCCTTGATCTCGCAATGGTCTGCCCCCCGGGTCAGTGTGTCAAGGACCTGCCCCGTTATGCCTGGCAGAAAGACGTGTCCCACTGGGCTGAGCCACGCCTTGCGCGAGACTGGCGCTTTCGAGCATATCCGCCGCACGAACTGCTGGGAAGCCGGGTGATTGAAATGGGCCATGAGCCGTCATGGAGGAATGTACTGGCCTTGGAGCACATTCCTTGGCTGGAAGGCCATCGCGTCAGTGATCACACGGTGTTTCCTGCGGCAGGTTATGTTTCTATGATCGGGGAGGCTCTGCTTCAATTAGAAGGCGAACCAGCTTACTCGCTTAGAAACATCAGCATCAGTACAGCATTGACGTTGCAGACGGAAAGGTCGACAGAGATCCTGACAAGTCTCCGCCCGATATCACTGGACTCATCTGAGGCGTCTCCATGGTATTCATTCAGCATTAGCTCCTTTGATGGAACTCGCTGGGTGCGAAACTGCTATGGTGAGGCTAGAGCGTCCGTGGATGAATCTGTATCTAGGAACGCGGATATGTTAGCGGTACCACTGCCGCGTCCAGTTGATCAAAGAACTTGGTATAATGTCCTACGTCAGGTGGGCTTGGATTACACGGGGGCATTCCGTGGTCTGCAATCCATCTCAGCTGCGACAGTGGACAACAGAGCTACTGCGACCGTCCCGTTGCAGAAAATCCACGGAAGTGCACATTATGCGGTCCATCCCGGACTGATCGACCAGTGCTTCCAGTTAATCACCGTGTCTGTCTGTCGCGGCCAAGCACGGAAATGCCGTCATCCCGCCGTCCCAACCTTCATCGAAGAGATGGTCATTATTCCCACCAAGGGTAGTGTAGAGGTGATTTCATATATCCCTACATCTGAGGGAGGATCATACGTTGGCGAGCTTGTTGCCCAATCAGCAGGCGAGCTTGTCCTCTCCGTGAAAGGGTTCAAGGCCTCTGCCCTCACTGCAGCGAGTCCTGTCTCGGAAGATGTACCGCTGATAACACAGTTGGAGTGGAAACGAGACGCCGACTTCGCTGATTTAGCCAAATTGATGTACCCCAGTAGGCAATGCCCTTCCGAATGGGCTCTACTGGAGGAACTTGTACTTTTGTGTATGCTGGAGCATCGGTGCCAGCTACAGGTCGACGAGCAGACCCCCGAGCATCTCCGGGTGTTCTTTGCCTGGCAAAAGACTCAGCTAGACCGATACAGGAGAGGGAAGAACATTTTGGTGCCTGCAGATCTCGAACTCGAAAGAATGAGCCGTGCCAATCGTCTGGCTCGCGTGGATGCCCTAGTGGCCCAAATGAAGGCCTCGCCATATGCAGTCTTCGCCACCGCGGTACATCGCCTTTTCATGGCCGCTCCAACAATCTTCACCGGTGAAGCCCATCCGCTACAGGTCCTCCGGCAAAACCAAATCTTTGAGGAGTTTTGTGCTATCACGGACTCTTTAGAATACGCAGATGCGGTGGCGCTCTTAGGTCATAGCAACCCCGTCATGCGTGTCCTGGAGGTCGGCGCTGGGACAGGCGGAACGACCCGGAAGATCCTCCAGGCACTTACCTCGTCTAATGGCGAGCGATTATACAGTAGCTATACCTATAGCGATGTTTCACCGGAATCCTTAGCGACAGCACAGGAGCAGTTTGCCGACCGCGAGGGCATGCTATACGTTGCCTATGATATCGCGCAAGACCCTGCAACGCAGGGCCTTGAGCTGGGGCAGTACGACTTAATCGTTGCTAGTAATGTAAGTGCTGTCAACACTCAGTAGCTATGTTAAGTCGGGTATGAGTGTTTACCAAAGTTAGGTCGTGCATGCCACGCCATGTTTGCAGACATCTCTTCGACACCTCCGCAGTTTGCTGAGCCCCCGAGGCCGTCTTTTCTTGCATGAGCTCTGTCCTGGTGAGTAAGACCTTCCGGACCGCACACTGTAGTGTGACTTGAGAGCTAACAATGGGCAGAGGCCAAATTTTACAATTATGTTATGGTAGCTGTCCTCCCAACTTTCCAGCCTGCAGATCCCTCGTTCCACCGGTGTCAATATGTCTCGATAGCTAACAGCAGGGATATATAGGGATATTTACCTGGGTGGTGGCTTGGACGGGCGGACAATCGCCTCGATCAGCCATATGTTTCAGCGGACCGATGGACCCAGGAACTAATTGCTGCAGGCTTTGAGGAGCCCGATGCCGTTGTGCTTGATGGGGTTGTTCCATATCATAGCAATGCAGGCATGATCGTTTCAACGGCCCGTCCGCGAACAATTCCCTCTCGGGTGACTCTGTTGTGTTACACCCCTACAGAAACATACGTGGAAGCTCTTATTCAGCTCCTCCATGAATTAGAGTTTTCCGTGGACATCTGCACCCTAGGCGAGCCTCTGCCCCCCACGCAGGATGTAATATCTGTGCTAGACCTGCAAGAGCCTACAATCCACGGCATGTCAGAGACAACGTTCAAGGTAATACTGGGATACTTACAAACACTCAAGAAGAAGATTCTGTGGGTCACCAGTGCGTCACAGGTGAAATGCAAAGATCCCAGAGCTTCCATGATTCTAGGACTGGCGCGCACCGCCCGTAATGAGTTGTCGGCTAGGCTGATGACGGTGGAGGTGGACAACGTGACCCCGAGCTCGACTGCAGCATATTTGACGATCAGAATCTTTCTCCGTAGTCCCCTTTCTGACCTTGGGCCTGATTTCATGAATCCGGATTGGGAATATGCTATCGTTGACGGGGAGGTTTTGGTGCCCCGTGCACATTGGACTAATATCTCCGAGGCCTTTTCGCATCTTCGCACCTCGGCCCCCTCAACGCGGAAACAGCTCGCTATTGAGACGCCGGGCTTGCTACACACCGTAGGCTGGAAGGAGAACGAGATTGGCAGCTTGGCAGACGACGAGGTCCTCGTTGAGACCAAAGCAGTCGGCTTAAACTTTCGTGTACGCCGCTTGCCCCCCTGGAGGTCCAAGTGGCCCAATTGCTGACATCTCATACAGGATGTGCTGATCGGTCTGGGGGTGCTTGACAACAGTGCTAGAGAGGTGGGACTTGAAGGCGCTGGCACTATACGAGCCGTCGGTGCCCAGGTCGAAACTCTCTCTGTCGGTGACCATGTAATGTATATGTCTAGTGGGTGCTTCCGCGACCCATGTAAGTTTACCAGAGGCTATCTGCGTCCGAATGGACGGGACGATGTCTTTTGAGATGGCGGCATCGCTGCCTTGTGTATTCACTACAGCTGCTATGGCTCTGGTGGATAAGGCAAGATTGAGCAAGGGTCAGGTACGTTCATTTCCCAACAAGACACCTGCAGACTCCCTGACGATTACAATTCTCAGTCCGTTTTGATCCATTCTGCGTGCGGTGGAGTCGATTTGGCTGCGATTCAAATCGCCCAGATGATAGGAGCACAGGTACGTGCCATCAGTCTCATGGCAGGAGCATCGCTAAAGGACACAGATATACTGCACCGTGGGGAATGAGGAGAAGGCACAGTATCTGTTCGACCATTATCAAATCCCGCGCGAGAACATCTTTCATTCCCGAGATGCATCCTTCCAGCGGGACATCATGATAGCCACCAGAAATCGTGGTGTTGATGTGGTGCTCAATTCCTTGTCCGGGGAACTATTGTTGGCCTCATGGAAATGTGTCGCAGAGTTTGGGACCATGGTCGAGATCGGCAAACGAGACTTCCGCCGCCGTGCAAAGCTTTCCATGGAGGCCTTCGAAGCCAATCGAACATTTGTTGGTCTTGACCTCTGGCAGCTATCTCAACAAAGGCCCAGGCAAGCCGCTGAGTAAGTATACCATTTCCAAAGCACCGTGCGCTGCTGCTGACAAGTTTACTAGGCTCCTAGAGCGTTGTGCGGACTGGATACGGTCTGGGGCCATCTCCTTAGATGCCCCGGCCAACATCTTCCCGGCCAACCGAATCCAAGATGCCTTCAGATTCATGCAGGCAGGTCGACACATTGGGAAAATTATTATTACTATGCCTGATGACCCCATTGATCTTGGATCAGTGCCTGGGAAACCCTCCATCACTCTGCGGCCTGACCGCAGCTACCTTCTTGTGGGTGGGCTAGGGGGGCTGGGCCGCGCGGTAGCTTCCTGGATGGTCGAGCTCGGGGCCCGACATCTCATCTTCCTCTCCCGCTCTGCCGGCCAGCTTCCTGAGACTGTCCAGTTTGCAGCTGAGCTTCGATCCCAGGGTTGTGAGGTCCAATTGATTACAGGCAGCGTATCTGAGACAGATGATGTCCATAATGCAGTTAATGCAGCGACTATGCCAGTGGCTGGCGTCATAAATATGTCGATGATCTTAAAGGTATGTGACTCTCGATATTTATGAGAAGCCGACTAGCTCTGACTCCATTCGCTAGGATGTATCACTGGCGGACATGAACTTCTCCGACTGGACTAGCGTGGTGGAACCCAAGGTTCAGGGGACCTGGAATTTGCACCATGCCACCTCTGCTGACCTGGACTTCTTCATTCTATTCTCTTCGTATAGTGGGATTGCTGGTCAATGGGGACAGGCAAACTATGCGGCCGCCAACTCCTTTCTTGATGCTTTTGTGCAATATCGACATGGAAAGGGCCTGCCAGCATCGGTGATAGATGTCGGCGTTATGGGTGAGGTGGGTTTTGTATCACAGAATGAGGCTCTATTCGACCGCTTCGCGAAGAGTGGTATGCATATCTTGAAGGAGCAGGATCTTCTGGATGCAATGGTTCTCGCCATCGCACGATCAGCTCCTAGACCCACCGGAGCCCAGGCTGAGGCGTACTGCAATGCCAGTCAGATTCTACTCGGTGTACACACTACCGTTCCCATATCGACCCGCTCCAGCCGAGTAGCCTGGAAGAACGACATTCGGATGAGCATCTATCATAATATACATGGGGGCAGCGAGGTATCCCCGGCTGGAACCTCAGACCAAAACAGCCTCCGGGGATTCCTTGCTGCATGTGGCTCTCGACCCGAGATCCTGGAAGAAGAAGAAGCCACAACAAGGATTGCGCAGTCATTGGGCTTGGCGCTAGCAAACTTTCTCCTGCGGGATGCTCAGAGCATCAGTGCCCATGATTCCCTTCCTGCTCTAGGGGTCGACTCTCTTGTGGCCATGGAGGTCCGAAACTGGATTCGGCAACAGCTCGATGTGGATGTCAGTGTCTTTTTGCTCCTGCAAAGCCTGTCGCTACTGCATGTAGCTGATCACCTTCGCCTGGCCCTTAACGCTCGCATGGCGGCCAACGGGCCTACCTCCGTCGAGGCATCGTAGATGCAGCATGTAGTCCCGATACAGCCGATATGCAATCCCAATCCCCCGTGTGTCGAACTTGCCAGAGAGCGTCAGCTCTGCTGATTGGGGATATTGTATACCTTTTAAGGTGCTACCTTCGAAATAGGAGCAGGCTTGATGCGCAGAATAGCACGGGAGGACTGGATGGTGGCTTGGTACTTGGGACGCGAATGATGGAGTCACCTTCGTCAGGCCAGTAGACTTGTGAGCACGACAGAAAAATAGCCATATATTCAAATTGTGCATAAAGGCGCACAGACGACCACGTAAGGCCTTTTCCAATCCCAACTTTCACCGAAAGTATATGCGACAGGGCCCGTCGGCGGGGGTGTTCACGGATCTCCATTCAATAGTGGACAATACCATTTACTTTATCCTAGAACCAGATTAAACGGCGGTCAGTGTGGTTCCGTAAGATTCTTGGTCATCAGTGAAACAACTAATCATACTATGGCATAGCTGTCCGTGATCCCACCATGGGCTGTGGCAGAGAACTGGGACCAATTTGTTATCTAGTTCTCTGTCGACCATAGGCGACATCTAATGGAACCGAAATGGGTGGCAGGCCGTGTATTTGCCATCGGCCCCCGGAGAAAACTTCCGGTGGCTGGGGCCTGTCGGAGGGACGAAGAAGTTTCCATTGGATGTATTGATCAAATAGTTCTCTGCACTAAACCTCGCCGCTGACGAATCCCCTGCGACCGGCGAGGGTGAAGACTTGTAAAGATGGTCACCACTATCCACTAAACATGACGAGAATCTGCACCGACGGCCAATATTGACTCCGATGCATAGTCCGTGATAGCTCTGCAGCAGTCACAGGGATGATCCTTTCCATGGCCCCAGTTCGACTACCCCCGCTAAGGTACGAACAATTGGCGATCGACAAATGGTAACTATGGGGTTGTTTCTGTCGAGATCGGCACCACCACACCCCGAAGCCTACCATTTTGGAACAAACCCCCTTAGCTTCCTGGATAGATCACGACCAGAAACCCCCTGCCCGACAGCCTAAAATCGATCATAGATCTCGATCCGGATGGTGTCCTTTACTAGCGCCGCGTTGCCACCAATCTCCACTCTTCCAGCTGTGCTGTTGCTCAATGCACCATAGCACCCCGCCCTTTCCTCCATCCGCTGGTCCGGATAGTGCCCTTTTGGGTAGACGGAAGTTTGACCAGATCCTGGCCAGAAGCCCTCTCCATCTGTGATTGGAGGGTGGGCTTACCAGGCCCTAAGTCACTGCGCTGTGTTAGTACGGTCATAGGGTGGCACCTGGGAGGACATGGCTTCACAGGTGGCCAATACCTGCCCATTGCAAACGAGCGATGCAACATTCCACGATCCCCCTTCTTCACTCAAGGCTGCGTGCGGCCAGCACATCTTATCTACAAGGTGAGACAGGTTTTCTGCCGTCGACGGTAAGCCGACTAGTGCCAGGTTGGTTGGAAGGTGCGTACATATAAACGACCATTGGGTTCCTTTGTTGCAAGACCGTGTGCTGCTGAATATGTCCGACAATCCAGATCTTGATTCACGTGGGGCAATGCGCTCCAGGAGGCTGCGTCTAGCCTGTGATGCCTGTCACAGGGCAAAAATACGATGCACAGGCGGTAGCCCTTGTAAGAAGTGCGAGAACGCGTGCGTGAATCCCCAGCACCAAAAGCGACATCGTCCACCCTAGTCCCCTTTCTAAACAATCGAGCGATAGTAATGTCCCGTGCCAATACAGCTACACTCAAAAGCTTGGCAAACCTAAGGGCAGCCGGAACAAGAGGACACTGGCTAGGCTGAGCGCATCCAATGGTGGGCGGCAGGGGCCAGCGAGGACTCCGGACACACTGCCACCATCTCCATTGCCAGCTCCGAATAACCTTTCCCCAACGATTATCGACAACCCTTCAAGATCCTTCTCAAACGATCAACCTTTGGAGGCCGATCTCGAATGTCCCTGGATACATCCTTTTTTCGATCTCGATGCTACAGTGTATCCTCCTCCACCTAACGGGGGCCTGTGTCAGGTGAGTTCGCAGTTTCTTGCAATCTGGGGTTTCCAGTCACACAGAAATGACAGTTCTTCAGCTTGAAAACACCTACCCAACTTTGGAACACGGTATGTATCTCTCGCGGTGAAGGGCAGAATCGCCACAGGTTCCTGTCGATTAGGACTGACGTACGACAACCCGACTTCAGGAACCGAAAACGGGCAGTCCAATGGAATTATCGCGTTCGAATCCACACATGACCATTCAGACGCAAGGCTCATGTCCCCAATTGATACTACTATCAACGGCAACATATATAGAGTTGACATACAACCCCGTGCGGTTACACAGAAGCCGAATGCTGCAACCCCCAGCCACATCCCGGCTTCTTACCCCCCCAACAAGGCCCCCACCGGCACTTCTATCGCTTCATCCCTTCTCTTTGAAAATCCCGGCCCATTCCAATGCAAAGGGGAGACGTCATGTTCCTGCCTCCGGCTGTTAACAGAACAACTCTATCTCCTCCATTCCACGGAACGCAACCACCTTGCCATACCTTTCGATCAAGTTCTGTCAATGGCTTCGACGTTCATAGGCTATGCTGACGGCATCCTGCATTGTGTACTGTGTCGACTTGACAGCACAGTATTGCGACTAGTCATGACGGCGCTCCAGACAATTTTCAGCTGGGTTTATATGGGCTACAGCAAGCAGCCCGAGCCCCCCCAGCTGCCCCCCGTCCACTTTGGCGATTGGAGAGTGTCGGAGCAGGATGGGGAAATGGTGAAGGTGCTTCTTACAAAGCACTTTCTATCCCTCTGTCGCTCTGTGGTTCGCATCCTACAACTCCGGGTGGATGAGATGCATCTACTTGCCAAAGTCCAAACGAGGTTTCATTGTATGGACACTGCAAGCATCAGCGTTATAGCAGAACAACTGGCTATCTCACTGTCGGATGTTACATGGCTGGTTCGGCATTACAGCAAAGAGAAGTATGTGATCCCTGACTCGCCATCATCTCAACAAAGCCCTGAAAGAAGTGCAACTGTCGCGGAGTCGGGCTAGGCGCGGAGGGTTGCTGCGTGACGAGAAAATGTACTCCTTCGAGGGATCTTCTTGACATCCGTCGCGTAAGATGGCGAGCGGATATCTGACCCTTACTATATAAGTTATCGAGCGTGGCGTCGATCAGAGTGGTATGTTCTCATTTAAACTTTAGCAGTGGTAAATTCTTCGCGCGTTGATGGTTCAAGTCCTCAGCCTAGCCAAGAAATCACCTTTAGGATCAAATGTCTTAGATCCCTTTATCCGTTTCAGGTGAAGAAAACCAATTATTTCCCTGTGCCACCCAAGGCTCTACTGTACCGAGTATTGCAATCTTTCCGTATAATTTCCCAGTATTATTGAGCCAATGCAGGCACACTGGTACGCATGACTTCGGTCTGCAACTTATTACCTATGTTTATGAGAATATATGTATGTCATACACGTTCTCGCACGGCGTCTGACATATCAAGAGTGTTAGGTGCCCTTTAAATGGTTAATTTCTGTCCCGAACTAGGGCGGATTTCTAAGATGGGTCTGTTTACAATGAGTTCCGAATAATTACACATAAGATCATCTTCTCCCCAACACACTATGATTACCTAATAGATACCTGCACAAGTCATGTCATTGTTGGTTGTGGCCTCGAGGACGGAGTACATAGTTATCCTTAACTTTGGTGATCACCTCTCGGACAGTAGCTAGTATCACTTTTCCTCGTTTGGTGGTTCCTTTCGTCCTGAGACTGCGAATTACAGAAAGACGAGCATTCTACTCATTGTGCAAACTACCCGATGTTGTCTTATAGGCCCGCTTACCATAAGTCCCGTTTTCCTCATTGGCTGCAAATTACACGGAGAAGAGAGAGTATGAATGAGGGTGTAAAAATTCCTTTTCGGCCCAAAATCAAATAGGGATACTCAGGAGAGCACCACAAAACCTTGTTGAACAGGACAATCGCACAGGTAAGCAACAAGAAAAGTTCTCGAATGCAATATTTAGACGTAACTAATTATGCCATTATGCATATTTTATCATGAACATCAGTCATAGCCCGCGTGATCTACGACCCACTATTGCTAGTCACACGTCGAGCCGGTTTGCCTCTCAAACCACTTCCAAAGTAGTTTCTCCGGTAATCTTGTTGTTTGCTTCTTTGCTAACATTCCCAAAAACCTCATCAATTTGCTCTAGGGTCCTGCCGGTCGTCTCAGGTACCAAGAAAAAGGCCCACGTTCCTGCAAGAAAACAGCATGCCGCAAAGAAGACGTATGTGCCATAACCAATATTAGCCATCATGGCCGGAGTCACGATTCCAACGATGAAATTAGATAGCCAATTGACGCAAGTTGATAACGCGACCCCTTTGGAACGGAGTGCATTTGGGAAGACCTCCGAGGGCAGGGCCCAGCCTAGAGGCGAGTATGTATTTCCGTAAACAAGAATGTACAGGAAGGCCATCGCCACACAGGCCCAACCAGCCGATGGGTTAGCCCAATTGGGCCCATAAAGAGCCATTAGAACAGCAATGACGACATAGCAGGCTCCCATAAGGAAACCTCCCAGTATAGCCAGGGGTCGCCGACCAACTTTGTCGATGGTGAAGAAACAGACTAGGACGGTGAGAAGCTGAAGGGAATTGAATACACCCGACAAAATCAAGGACATCTCGCCCTTCTGGCCGATTGAAGTGAAGAGCGTTGGCGCGTAGTATATGAAGGCATTTACACCCGAGAATTGTTGGAAAAATCCTACACCCACGCCGACTGCTGTCCTCTTCCAGGTCTGCGGCTTGAATAGATCCATCCATATCAGGGCCTCTCGCTTGATGCCAGTCACTCCCGGGCGTTGTTGCTTTTCCATGAGTTTCTGGGCTCTAACCTCACTGATTATTGCGTTGAACTCAGCCTGGACTTTCTGATCGCTCAATGGAAGGCCGCGCAGCCGACTCAGACTCTTGAGACAATCCTCTGGCCGATCAACGAGCGCCAGCCACCGTGGTGAGTATGGGAAGAAATGGATACCGATTCCAACAAGAGTTGCGCTGACCATCTGCAAGCCAAAGGGCACACGGAATGAAGCTTCACTATTTACTAGTCTCATGCCGAACGTTATCCAATATGCTATGACTGACCCGGACACGAGGCAAATGGATTCGAGCACTAATAGGGTTCCTCGCAGGTTTGGTGGTGAAATTTCTGAGATGTAAAGTGGTGCGCCCTGGTATTGCCAGATATATTAGCGAGCTGTCTTGCATGGGACAGGTGATCCATCTCTACCATAGCCAGTGTACCAACCCCGATACCACCAATTGCCCTTCCAGCAACCAGCATACCGTAATTTTGGGCCGAGGTCTGGATAATGGCCCCGATGTCGAAAATGATAACGACCACCGTCAGGGCCCACTTCCTGGAGACCTTGTCGGCAAGATAAGGCATGAAGATACAACCGACAAATGCCCCGAGGAGCAGCATGCCTGTCATGAACCCTTTGCCAAATTCACTCTCCGCCTGCGGGATAGCCGCATGAAATTGTGGCATGACATTGATGACTGATATAACTCCCTGGTCATACCCAAAGCTGAAACCCCCAAGAGAAGCAAGGCAGGCGGCTCCAAGAACATACCCCGAGCTGAAAAGCCCTCTGACGCCATCCGGTCCATATGAAGGCATCATATCCAGCGCTTCAACACCAAGGGTGCCCCTCTCATCATGCTCCACCGTAGTATCATCCTCTTTCGACTTTTGATGCATTGAAAAACTTGAGCGAGTTATAAGTCTTGACCGTCTCTCCATGTATTTACCTGACTGAGGAGGCAGGACTGAGCACTTAAGTAGCCCGTGGGGCAGGGTATATCTGACTGGAGTTACCCCGGCCGGCTCTAAACAACCCCCCCAGACGGCAAAAAGGCATAAGCGCACCAATCACATCTACTAGAGTGGCGTACAGGGATTACGAAAATAACACGCGCATCGGACATCTCTCTTGACCTGACCTCCGGCTACTTACCATGATTATTAGTCCCGTGTCGTGTCGGTCAGTCATTGGGCGAATACCGCACTTACTCGTCTCTCCATAAGCTGGGTGGCCGGAGACGTGTGGAGTATACGCATTCTGTCTACAATGAAGTGCCTTGATGATTTCTGCTAGATGGCTGAAAATACGATGATTTCCAGAGCCACATGTTCTCAGTCACCGAAGACACCGCTTGGGGTGTAGTGAGGAAAGGAGGCGTTTCATAAATGGGCCATGTCAATAGCTTGTGTATCATATATCTAGAGCTCTCAGATTGGTCGTGGTCAACGATTATATTGAATCAGATATATGTTCGCCCCAGACCTTCTTGGTGCGACACCCCGGCTATATTCAGGACCGAACAGCAACCAGGCTTGTCAACCCGGATACCAAATGACAGGTGGAATGAATCAGTAATGCACCACACGTTGGGCCTCTCATAAGACTAGTTGCAACAAAAACTTTTTTTGCCCGGCATTATAACGAACAGTTGCTCCTATAGTACATACGTCACGACATGCGAATTTAGGAGTACGTAACCGTTGTGACCATTCTACGGCTTTTGCGGGGTCCCCACATGTCTCGAGGGTAGTATTGTTTCTGGGGGAGGCTGCCTGTGTAAGCCGTTTCGACCACCGGCCTCCACTCATCCGTTCATGTCTCTCCACGTCGTGGCCCGGGAAAGTTGTTAACATGGCACGGAATCGGGTGACAGACATCGGACTTAAATCACTGCAGAATAAGGGGCTCGGATATGCGCCCCGGTTCCAACCCCCTCGGCCGATTCACGTGATGTTAGGCCGTCAACGTAAGTATAGGCCTCCATACCATTGTACATGGGGAACTGAGCTTCTACTATCTCATTTTGATGACCCCTGGTGGACCTTATCAGTTCCCTGTGTCCCCTTGAGCCGTTATGCAGTACAAACTTCTATTAGCAGGCGACAGAGCCGACTTCACCACGCTCGAATTCGACCAGAAGAGAGGAAAGTTGAGCATCCTTGCTAATTATGCAGCCCCCTTCAATGCTTCCTGGGTCGAGCTATCGTCATCGCAAAGGGGCCTGGATAAACTTGTCGGCCTATCCGAGGGAAACGAGTCGGGTCTTTTGTATACCTTCGAGATAGATCACCTGAAAAAGGATTGCACAATTACCAGCCAGTTGCCAACTCTGGGAGCGCCTGGTCATTGTAGGTAGATACATCACTCGGTTTACCATACGGTTCTTATTAGTGACAATTTGGTCTTACTAGTCACCAAGTTGCGTGATAATACTGCACTAGCTCTTGGCACTGTTAGTCGACATCAGGTCCTCGTTTCGACACATCTACTAACATTTCACTCCATGTAGTATCTTGGGGGATCTGTTGCCCTCTATCCCATTTCCATAACAGGCAATGGCAAGATACTGCTTCAAGATGTTCCGCGAGCGGAGATTCTACCGGAATCTCCCTATCAGTCGATTGGACACGGTCCTAACAAGGCCCGTCAGCAACAATGCCATGTGCATCAGATATTGGAAGACAGCCGAGGCATACTATACGCCCCGGATCTGGGATCCGATAGGGTTTGGATACTTCGGCGCGACGGCGTTCAGCATCTTGAAGTCTGTGGCTGGCTACAGTGCCCTCCCGGAACAGGCGCTCGACATGCCGTATTGACTCCCAATGGTATGTACTCCTCGCCTCAACACGGAGATCCCATGTTCCGGAGCTAGCTGACCTTAAATGCTAGAGACGATAATGTACGTTATCGGAGAGCTCTCGCACACTGTCATCGCATTCGACGTATCAGCTGCCCCTGCAGAGGGCATACCCCCGATTGGTGGCTTCGCACCGAGTATAATCCCTCCGGAGGTTCACCCTGATCATCAAGGCATGATGGACTCTGCCGAAATCGGTCTTCATCCCTCCATCCCTAACGTTATCTATGCCAGCAATCGCTGGGAGAGGCACATCGCGCAGCGTGAACCATACCTCCGCAGTGTGCCTCGCGATCTACCGCCGGGAGATGCGATCGCTATTATCCTGCTCTCCGAGGATGGCAGGAAGGTCAACGACATCAAGCACGTACGGACAGGCGTTGATGTCATCCGTGGCATGCGGCTCAGTGACGACGGCAGGTATGTCGTTGTAGTCGGACAAGAAGGGGGTGGCGTGGAGGTCTATGGAATCAACGGGGAAAAGGGAGACAAGTGGACTTTGAT